CAAACATATACAGTACAGACCAAAAGTTTGGACATGCCTTTTCATTCAATGAGTTTCCTTTATTTTCATGACTATTGACATTGTAGATTCACACTGAAGGCATCAAAACTATGAATTAACACATATGGAAATATGTACTAAGCAAAAAAGTGTAAAACAACAGTTTCTTGAGTTTTGTTGTTTTATTTACAATGTTTATGTCACATTTCACATGACATTTTACTCTAGTCATGTTTAATTGTTTCATATTAATTAATCGACGGTTGCTTACTTGCTTTTGACTTGTTCACATTTCTGTAACTGCACACCTTGCGTTGCATTTAATTGTATAATAACAAATACCGTCTTGATTGATTGATTGATACACTGATTGATCAAAATGCTGTGGAAGAACAGGTGTGCGCTCATGCATGTAAAAACAGCTCAAATTTATCATGATAAACAATGAATATATTAAATACTAGAATAAAAAAACATCCAAAACAAAAAGCTGGGTTTGAAAAGCTCTTAGAGTTTGGAGTGTTTATCCACCGTCTATCAGATATAAATTACATCATCAATTTGGTGTTAAACAATCCTGCTGGGAATTGTTCCTGATCTGCTAAAAACTAAATTAAATCATTTTTATTCTATGTAACTGAGTTGCTGTGTGTTGCTTTGTGACTTCAGGTTAAGAGCGGAAGCATCCCGGGACTCCAAAGACGAAGTTGGCGATGACGTGAGTAAACTCAACCTCTGCTCCTACACACCCCGTTCAGTATCTCTACTGCTATTGGCAGCCCCAAAGTAAAGAAAGCAGAACTTCAAGTGCTTGTGTATTAATGACTTATTTAGTTGCGTAGGGTTTGTACAATAAAAGACGGGAATCGGCTGGTGTAACTTCCTTTAGTTAAAAATCGGTTTGTAAAAGTGCACTCTCCTTCTTCGTGTCCAGTTTTCGTCGCCCATGCAGGACGGGGACATGTCGATGACCCAGCGGCGCCGCTTCACTCGGGTGGAGATGGCCCGTGTGCTGATGGAGCGGAACCAGTACAAAGAGAGGCTGATGGAGCTGCAGGAGGCGGTGCGATGGACAGAGATGATCAGGTACTCAACGAAGAAAAATTGAGAGCATCTCAAATTTTCTTCTCTTGTCTAAAAGAAAAACAAATCTGATTTGTTTCTTCCATATTTTGTTACTTTATGAAATCTCCTAATGGCATTTTTCAATTGAACTATTTATTTAAATCATGAACTTACTCTCCTCTCTCCTCCCAGGGCTTCCAGGGAGAGTCCTCCCATCCAGGAGAAGAAGAAGTCCACCATCTGGCAGTTGTAAGCTTCAGCTTTTATTCTGAAATATTGACTGAAATAAAAACGAAAAACTGCTAAAGAAGATAATTTTCTGAATCTCTGTCCCAAAGCTTTGCACGCCTCTTCAGCACCTCGTCCAGCCCCCCGCCCGTCAAGCGCCCGTACTCCAGCGTCAACATCCACTACAAGTCGCCCTCGCCGGCGTTCAACCAGCGGCGGAGCCACACCATGTGCCAGATCTCCACCTCCAACCGCACGCTGGAGTTCTTCCCTGAAGAGTGAGCAAAAGCAGCCAAAAAACAAACTTAGTCGCAGTCTTACTCTGCAGCACGCCTGGACGCTCGCTCGCTTCTAGCAGCCTGCAGGTCAGAGCGCTTCTGCCGTAGTTGGCTCCTTTTGACAAGAAGCAGCTAATGGCTGCAGCAGAAGAAGTATGCTCAACAAAGTTGTTGGCATAAAGTAAAAAAAAAAAAAAAGACAGATTTTCAGGACCAACAAGACCACTAGCTAATGTTCCTTAACAGGAAATAGCAGCTTTGCTTCTGCTTCCTCTCGCCATCTTTTCTTCTTCTTCTCTGATTCTCGCTGCTGGCTGGCCAGGCTGCTAACGCTTCGCCTTCTCTCCCCTCTCTTTCTTCCCCCGCCCCCGATTGCTTCCAGACTGGCCAGTAACGGTGTTGCGTCTCTCCTCAGTGACTCGGCGCTGATGGCGCGCCGAGAGCAGCGGCGTGAGCAGTACAGGCAGGTTCGAGAGCACATGCGCCGTGACGACGGCATCATGCAGGCCTGTGGCTGGAGCGTGCCATCTCGCCTCAAGCAGGTGAAACGCACACACAGGGGCCTCCCCACGTTCGTGGCTACGAGACCTCCCAAGGTTTAAAAGTCCAATCATTTCCTTGTGTCTAATTCCCAAAGAATTTCTTGTAATAATTTCGAATCCTGCATGATCGGTAGTTCTTCGTGTCTTCTGAAGTTTGGCTGTTTTTCCACTTATCTTCAGTCCTGTTTGGTTACATGACAGCATGTTGAACAGGATGTAATCCAAAAAATGAGGAAAGGCCACAAGCCTTTCCTCAAAATGGGAAAAACAAGACAACAATCAGTCAGATTTATTTACAAGTTTCTGCACATGGGCAATGAGAAGAATGAACCAAATCACAGAGAAAAATCTTGAAACTATTTTTTTTTTTTCGTCTCAGTCCTCAGATTTGGTTTTTATAGAAAACCTGTAGGGTGAGCAGGAGAGGACCTCAGCCTTTGTGCTAAGAGGAAAAGGTATTTTTTAAATTGTTCTCAGAGAAGACCCAACGCTCTCCTCGGGCCAAATTAAGTTCCTCAACAAGAGAAGAAAAAAACATTCCTCTGACAATGGCTCAAAACTAGACTGAAGGAAAGTGAAAGAGCAGCTAATGACCTCAAGAAAGCATGATGACCACAATAAAAGATTACAGTAAAATCTTAATCACAACCTAAAGGAAAACAGAACATAACATAAGACTTTTGCGCATTACTGTAAAGCATCAAGTGGCAAACATGAGGGACTGAAACTGGGACCTAAACTTCCTTTGTAAATTTTATGAAGTGGAGGAATTATTTTTAAATACACGAGGATCTTAAATAAACCTAATTTTTAAGGACTACTCTTCTTAAACGGACAGTAACTTTATCATCAGCTTAGCTTTTTAAAAAATCTTCCTGGAAATTGTCCTGTCCTTTGAAATAAGAAGCTAGAACTTATAATAGAAGTCGAACTCTTCTACTTTTTTTTTTTGTCTTTGGTTTGCAGTGAAGTCATATATTCACACACACTGTGCAGCAAAACCAAATGAGCTGTTTCAGCTCACCATCTGGATTTAAACCAGATGAAACGTTTCCTCTTTCAGGTCAGAAAAAGTACTGCAGTGAGACGGGCTGAAGAAGTCGTCAAAAACAACATAAAACACTCAGAATATGACACATAAATACATTCAGGAACAAATCTTACATTGAAATGTAAATCTTACATGTAAATGTTACATTTGGGGCAGTATGCTGTGGGAATGTTAAACTTCAGGAAGATCTGGTGCACTTCACAAGACATTTCATTACGAAGAAAGAACATCACGTGGGAATATTAGCGCAAAATCTCACGGTATCTGTCAAGAAGCTTTGTGTGGATTAAGTTTTTTTCAGATGAAAAATGACCCAAATGCCTTCACATCTGAATCAAAGTGGCTTAAATACAACAAAGTCAACATTTAGGAGTTGCCATCACAGACCTCTGACCTAATTCTGACTGAGTTACATCAGTTCTGTCAGGAGGAATGGGCCAAAATCCCAGCAAACTGTTGTGAGAAACCTAAAATGTTGAAACTGAGTCCTGCAGTTTAAAGGGTAAATCTGCCAAATCCTAAGCAAATATATAAATTTTGGAGAATTCAGAATTAATCACCGAAAAAAAAAAGAAGAAAAAAGTCATCCTAACTTAACTGAAAGATTTAGTATGATTTAATGTCAGACAGGGGGAAAAAAATAAGTTTTTTTTAAATAAATGTCTGGCTTCAAGTGTATCTTGAAGTGTTGCTGGCAGAGCAAGGTCGATTCCCTTGGCTGGAAAGAGGCCGATGGCGCGGTGTGTTGGTAGGCAGGTGGCTCTAACTCTGGTCTCCCGCAGACTGGCGGTCAGACGGACGGCGCTAAGGACAGCCCGCTGAAGAGACAACAGGCAAGTGAGACCGACAGAGAGCCAGCATGCGCCTTCATGGCTTCCCCCCTCCTGTTTTTAACCTCCCACCTGAAGCTCTGACCCTCCCAGAAGCTGATAGAAAAAGACATTTTTGAAATTAAAAAAGAAAAAAGAAAAATCACAAATGTAGGATTTGTGATCAAGCGGACTTCCAGAAATGCATGAAGTTTTAGCGATAACGTTTTATTTGTAGGCATGATGTGGTTGGATATTTGCTACAAGACTTTCTTACCCCTTGCAGCCTTTTTACCTTTGACCTCTGTCTGTCTCAACCTGCCCTACTTTACACACTTCTTAACAACTCTGCTTTATCTTGGTGTTTTAACTAAAAAAAAAAAGAGCAACTAACACACTTTATAGTGATGACACTGTGGTGTTTTGTTTTATTTCTCCATTTTTAGCTGTTCTGGCTTCTGGAATAAACATTTAATTTCTGCTCAAATCCCTCCCTGGCATAATCTAATTTCAAAAATATTGACACACATTGGATTAACATTGTCACATACATAGCTTAGACTCTAATGCTAATGTTTTGTAGCAATGAACAGATAAATTCACTATTACAGATAGAGGCGGAGACACAAAGATAACACCACCCGGTGATGGATAGCCTGGGTATATCGTGACATCAAACGGTGCTTTTGGGCTTTTTTTATATATATATATATAATTTTTTTGTCAGTACTCAGGGGACATCGAGATGCTACGAGCCAACCAAAACATATAATTTCCCTGCCTGTCTCCTGACGACTCATCACTTTTCCCTGCAGACCAATGAGAAGGAGGATAACCGCATGAAGAATGTGCCTGTTCCGGTGTACTGTCGCCCCCTGGTGGAGAAAGACCCTAACAGGAAGGTGAGAGGATTTCACTGAAATGAGCCAAGTGGGTACATATGCTCAAAGAATGCTTTATTTACGTTTTTCATCCGTTTTTATTCTTACCTTAAAGATGTAAAAGTTGAATAAGAAGTGTCTGATTATGTGGAAGCCTCACTATTTACTGGGAGCTTATTATTTCTAATGTCATAATATCGGTTTAGATGACTACTTGTTTAAAAAAGGGGGTAGAAGTATAAACTTATTCGATCCCGGCCCGTTTCTTTTATTTCTTACTTTTTCTGATTGCATTTGTGCTTGTAGTTGTGGTGTGCAGCAGGAGTCGACCTGACGGGATGGAGAGTCGGCAGCCAGGAGGTGGCGCCACCCAAAGCACCACCAGGCAGCAGCGACCCCCTGCAGACTGAGGAGGACCGAGCGGACAAGAAGAACACGTCACCTGAGAAGAGGAAGGTAGCCCTTCGTGTTTTAATGGCTTCATTTCCTCCGTAATAAACCATTAGTAACCCTTGTTTTTTTATTATCTTATCGCCATTGTTTTTATCTTTCCACATGTGTCTCTCAGTCTAAGGAGCTCCAGGAGACAGACAGCATGAACAGTCGAGTGTGGATCCTCACCAGCACCCACTCTGCCAGCAAAGTGGTCATCATCGACGCCAACCAGCCTGGCTCACTGGTCGACCAGTTCAACGTCTGCAACGCACACGTGCTCTGCATCTCCAGTGTGCCAGGTCAAATAGAAAACACCATTTTATGCCTGATTGTTTTATATTTAAATGTGAAAGTAAGTTGGTATTTTGTTTGTTTGTTTGTTTGTTTGTTTTTTTGCTGCTCATGTGTATTTCTGGTTTCTCCAGCTGCAAGCGAGAGTGATTATCCAGCAGGAGAAATCGTGTTGGATCCAGGTGATGCAGGAGGAGGAGAGGACATGGGAGGCGTGGAGGGCATGTTGGCTGGCATCACGCTGGTTGGCTGTGCCACGAACTGCAGTGTTGCCCGTAGCAACTGTTCCTCGCGTACGGACACACCCATAGTGGACAAAGGACAAGGTGGGCTCATCACCAATACAGGGTCTTGCAAAAGTTTCCAAACTGCTTTAGCTTTTCCTCATCTTGTCACATTTCTGCCTCAGACTTTGTTCTACTTTACTGGGGTTTTATTCAATGGATCAACATAAAGCAGAACGTATTTGCAAAGGAGAAAAATATTCCAGGGTTTTAAAATGTGACAGACATCTAACTCAGTGCCTGGGAAGCCGTCTTCTTGCACTGCAGAAACACAAATTCTTACCAAGTATTTTTGGTACAGCTTCTAGAGTAAAGTGCACTAGAAATAAGACAAAACTAATTTACATCATGATATAGAAACTGGTTGTAAGTCAATGAAGTGGTTATATGTGAAATAATCTGTCAGTGGAACTAGTACTCTTCATCAATAGTAATCTCATCTTACTTGTGAGATAGTTTTATCTTATTTCAAGTGTACTAAAATATTTGTACTAGAAACTAGACTAAAAATACTTACTGGACTTTTAGCTCCATCCATCTTTGCATCAACTCTTATCAGCTTTTCTGACCCTGCTGTGTTTTAATGTGACAAATGGTGTGAATATTTTAGCGTTGCTCTGCACCTGACAGAGGAAATAAAACTGTGTGTCTACATCTTTCTGGTGTTTTCCTGCAGCCCCCGCCGCTCCCCCCATGAACGGGAAGATTCACCCCGCCCAGTCGACCGAGGAAGCCACCGAGGCCACGGAGGTTTCCGAATCCACGGCCAGCCACGCGGAGATGGGGTCCGGACGCCCGGGGCCCTTCACCGAGCACGTCTTCACCGATCCTCAGCCTCGTCCGGCAGACGACAGGTGGGGAGTCAAAAGTTGCACGTTGCACGGACAGATCTGCAGAAAACGTGTCAATAAGCCCCCGGGTTGAGGCTTCGAATGGTGTCTGTCCACTCAGGAGCGCGGGCCAGTCCAAAGAGGAGTCGTCTCAGCCCGCAGAGTCTGAGGAAGGAGGGGAAGAAACCAAAAACTACACCAGCGTGGCCCCCACCATGTGGCTCGGGGCACAGAATGGCTGGTGAGCAGATCTACTTCTTAGGAGGTTTTATTTTTCAACAATTCAAATAAAGCACTTCATTTTTATATATATATTTAAATGAAATAAGAAAAATAAAACTAGAAGCTAAATTGTAAACTCAACACTTCCTGATGTGTTTTGATGAAAGGAAAATATAACAACGGTCAGAAAGTTATAGTGTGTGTATCAAGACAAAAAAAAGAGTCTAAACTGACTTAAATAGATTAGGTTTGAAATTGCAGTTTTTTAAAAGTTATGTAGAAATAGCAAAAACTAGAAAGAAAAGCCATTTTCTTGTTGCTAACCTTCTTGTTTTTCTCCAAGGCTTTATGTCCACTCTGCCGTCGGAAACTGGAAGAAGTGTCTCCACTCCATCAAACTCAAAGACTCGGTTCTCAGTCTGGTGTAAGTCAAACATCCCTCCACGTCCTTTTTTATTGCAGCCACATGCCGTTTAGTTGCAGCTCTCTGCTCTGAATTCAGCATCTCTCTCCAGTCTTTCAGCAGTTTCCGTCTACCGTCTCCTTTCAGACACGTGAAAGGTCGTGTGCTGGTCGCCCTCGCCGACGGGACGCTCGCCATATTCCACCGATCAGAAGGTGTCTGCATCTTGACTGTTGCTTCATGTTGGTGTGACTGCCTCCAGTCTGTCGTGCCGGCTTCGCTTCACTGTGTTTTTGTCCCCAGACGGCCTGTGGGACCTGTCCAACTATCACCTCATGGACCTCGGCCGGCCTCATCACTCCATCCGCTGCATGGCGGTCGTCCACGACAAGGTCTGGTGCGGCTATAAGAACAAGATTCATGTCATTCAGCCCAAAAGCATGCAGATCGAGGTGAGTTGCAGGACATCCCTCTGTTAAACAACTGAATCCAACATTTAGCCTCAGTCTTTTCCTTACGGTAGATCAGCTGCTGCTGCTTTTTTCTAATGATTCCCTTCGTTTCCCGTTCTCTGCTGCTTCGCAGAAGTCGTTCGACGCCCACCCCCGGAGGGAGAGCCAGGTGCGGCAGCTGGCCTGGATCGGAGACGGCGTGTGGGTCTCGATCCGGTTAGACTCCACCCTGCGTCTGTACCATGCGCACACGCACCAGCACCTCCAGGACGTGGACATTGAGCCATACGTCAGCAAAATGTTGGGTGAGTTCAAGCTCGGTTCATGGAGGCTTTACGCAGTTTAGTTATCGTTGCAGGGGTATTTGACGTTGAGCTTTAACACGCCGTCCACGGTTCTGGGTTAAAGGTACCGGCAAGCTGGGCTTCTCGTTTGTGCGGATCACGGCCCTGCTGATTGGTGGAAACCGCCTCTGGGTGGGGACAGGAAACGGCGTGATCATCTCCATCCCGCTGACAGAGAGTAAGTGCGACAGAAAGTGGGAGAATCATGGAAGAAGACCTGTTAAATCTGAGAAAGACTCAAGAAGTAAAGGTTCATCTTCTGTCACCACAATGGCCCCAAAAATACAGCCAATCACGACAGGTTTAGATCAGCTTATATCGAAACCTAAAAATTTGCTCTCTAACTAATCTGACTGAGATTATGGAAAGCTGGAAGATGCATACACCAAAAGATTATTATTTATTAAAAAGTTTTAGAACGGCTTTTTTAAATCTCATTTATGCGCTGCTACATAAAATATTAATTAAACACATTTTAATTACTCTGTTAAGGATTAAACGTGTATCACAGGTATATCTCAACATACTGTAAATAAAAAGCTGTATAGTTCCTTGTAAGAAGGATGTTTTCTGATACTGTTTATATTGTAGAAACTTTTAGGTACCCTTTTTTTTTAATAATAAAAAAATTAAGTTTTTGAAATTGATTTGAAGTTGATGGCTTTACCTTGAAATCACTTCAAATTGTATAGTAATTGCTTAGAAAGTTAGTTTGAATTTAATTGCACTACGAAACAGAAAATATGAAAAAAAAAAATCACTCCTTAAACTGGTTCTTTGGATTTTTTTTTTTTAATCTAAAAACTCCCACTCCTCCGCTCTTCTCCAAGCGTCTTCTCCCTCCTCCGTCTCTCCTCTCTCCCTCAGTGGTTGGACCTCCTTCTCCCAGTCTAGGTCGTAACTTTTTTCTGTTGCTTTCCTCTTTCTCGCCCCTTTCTCCTCTTCTCACTCCCCGCAAAGCGGTGGTTCTTCACCGGGGACAGCTGCTGGGGTTGAGGGGTAAGTGGGAGCGCTCCCTCCCTTCCTCCTGCTGTTGTGATCTAACTGTTCTCACCCAGTCAACCCTTCATGTTTCCCTGCAGACCTGCAGTATTCTACATGCTTTTTGTTGGTGGTATACTTTCAGCAGTCTTGTGTTTTATTACTGTACTGAGAAACACTAAAAGTTCTTCAACGATTTTTATTGTCACATTTTCCTGATTAGATGGTTTGCATGACAGTTGTTTTTTTGTTTTTTTTTTGTCATATATATATATATCTTCTCCGTGTAACACATTTGCTGCATGCAAGGTCTTTGATTTATCATTTTATTTTGGGGTTTAAAGTGTTTATTTTTGCTAGTGTGATTTTTACTGCGAGCCTTCCTGTTTGCCTTTTCACCAAAATGCTCTCTCTCTCTTTCTCCATCAGCCAATAAAGTGTCTCCTACGTCCTCCGGCGGTGTGATCCATGTGTACGGCGATGACAGCTCTGAGAAGAGCACCGGCAGCTTCATCCCCTACTGCTCCATGGCCCAAGCGCAGCTGTGTTTCCATGGACACCGAGATGCTGTCAAGTTCTTCGTATCCGTACCAGGTAAATATACACCATGGCTTTACATTTAGGTTAATGAACTGCTTTTTGACCCGCCTTCAGGTGACATTTTTTGTTCAACACAGTATAAAAGGAAGCTTGATATAAATTTAAACACTGTTAGGAAATTGAGGTCACCTAAATTTGATGACTTTAGCATTATTCTTATTTCATCCTAGCATGAATGCCACTTTAAAGTCCAATAACTCTTCACACATATTGAAAACAAAACGGAGCCCAGAGTGGAGCCTTGAGATACACCACATGAACATGGCGCAGGGACAGAAAAGTGTCACAGATCTGAACATTTTAAAGCATCCCTCCACAACAGAGAGCTCAATTTGAAATTATTAGGTTTTTAGTTTAAAACGGATTGTGTGAGTTTAAAAATCTGGTCTAGATGCTTCGTTTGCCTGTCTTAATGTCATTTGCACAGAATTGATAGCTTTTATATTAATAAAACATGAAAGTATGTTAAACTTCAAAAGTAACATATTGAAAACAAGTCAGGGCCCAAGTCAGAGAAACTCCACAAGAATCTTCAATACTACCATATTTTAAGCCCTCCATAAAAGGAGAACTCAATTTTGATATTTTTAATTCGATTTTTAAAAAATACAGATTATCACTTTTTTCTAGGCTATTGTATATATGCAATTTAAATGTCCAAATTGCTATTTTATATTTAACTACTTGTTCCTGTTTTTTTTTTTTTGCACAGGCAATGTTTTGGCCACCTTAAACGGCAGCGTTCTGGACAGTCCATCCGAAGGTCAGAGCACCGCGGCGCCCACAGAGACGGAGGCGCAGAGCGTTCAGAACGTGCTGGTGCTGAGCGGAGGAGAGGGCTACATCGACTTCCGCATAGGTGGGCGCAAACTTTCACACAATTTGCTGTTTTCTTAGTAAACACATACATGGTGTTAGCTGCTATGCCACTTTTCTGATAACATTTTATTAAAAGCTACATTTTTGGGTAACACTTTATTTGAAGGGGTACGAATAAGACTGACATAAACATGATTTAACACCTGTCATGAATATGAAGGAGTTTTCATGAATGGATATGACTGTTGTCACGAAGTGTCATTTAGTAAATAATGACACTTTTAATGCAAAGTTGACACTTTTAATTGACTTTTAGTGCAAGTTTTAGTACAACTTTGTATTAAAAGTGTCAGTATTTACCAAAAATTACAAAGTTGGCGAATTTTAATGCCCTTTCAATGCAACTTTTAGTGATACTTTGCATTAAAAATGTCATAATTTACCAAATGACACTTAATGACAACAGTCATAAACGTTTATGAAGACTCCTTCATGTTACACTTCAAATAAAGTGTTACCCATTTCTGTGCACTAATGTGACTTGTCATATGTAAGCTAATTAACTGACCAAAGAGGTGTTTTATTTTCATGAATTATAGGAATAATTGTGTCCTGATCCATGGTTTTATTTTTTTCCTGTAGGTGATGGGGAGGATGATGAGACTGAGGAAGGTGACAGCGGCGGTGGGGCTTCGCAGATGAAACCTGCTTTGAGCAAAGCTGAGCGAAGCCACATCATCGTCTGGCAGGTGTCCTACGTGCCGGAGTGACGCCTAAATCTGCTTTAGCAGTACACCCGAACATCTTACTGAAGAAATCTCCCTCTCTCCTCCCCCCACCCCCAGAAGCTTCAAGCCACTAAAACTTTGTAATTATTCCCCGGTCATGTAAAAGTTCCCCTCTGAAAAAGAATAAACCCTTCAAGCTGCGCATCTTTCCTTGTAACTATTAAACACCCCGCCCTGACCCCATCACCTTTTAACTTTAATGCCTTGTAAGTACCTCCTTTGACCTAGTTATCTGCTTGCCATCCTGTGTCTGTCCCACACAGGGCCTTGTAACCATCATCATAAGCCTTGTAACTACCTCCCTCCTCTGTAACCATCGAATACTCAATCTGTAAGCACACCTTATCTCCAATATTCAGTCTCGGTTGCATCGGGCCCAGACCTCCTGATAATTTTTGCCATTAAGTTCGCTATCTATGGAAACTTAAATCTAAAAACAAAAACAAGAAAGGAGAGCAACAGATACAGCAATGTGATGGTAGATGAAGTTGCAGTTTCAAAAAACAACAAAAAAAAGAGTACATTTTACAGATCTTATGCAATGATATAAGTTAAAGTAAAATACATTTGGTCCCAGTGAAAGTAAATGTTGAATAAATTGAGAAATTACATTTCTTTTCCCCCTTAAAATGCTTTACAGCCTGGTTAGGTCCTGATTGAAAACACGCAGCGCCTTGAAAAACTATTCTTACTCCTTCAAGCTCTTTACATCTTGTCATGTTACAACCATAAATGTATTTTATTGGAATTTTACATGATGAAGCAACAAATTCATTTAAAGGTTTCAGAGTAAAAAGGGGAACTAATGCAAATCCACAGCAAACATTTAGGATTTTATAATTAGTAACTCATCATTTAGCCTCTCATCCTTCTTGTGTCTAACTTTAGGTGATTCTTCCCTGTCTGTGCTAAACAAATGCGTCCACCTCGCAGCATGACGCTGCCACCACCACGTTTCACTGTGGGTACGGTGCTTTCAGGGCGACATGCAACATCAGTTTATAACAAAACAGCTGTAATTTTGTAAAGTAATGTAAAAACACAGTGAATTCTCTTTACTAATCAAGTGGTGTTTTCCAGGATTTATATCACGGATTATCAGAGTAAAAGGTGCTAAATACAAATCCATGCCACTCATTTCATCTCCGTCAAGATTTACGGATGTAACATGACAAAATGTGGAACGGTTAGAAATTTTCAAGGCATAGACGTGTTCAGTGAGAACAATCCTGCAAATATGTGGTGCAGCCGCAGCAGTCTGAGACAGGTGAAAGGTCAGACCGTTTCCACATCCAATCAGACTGGTAGTTTAATATTTTGGTTCCTAAAAGATTTCCCTCTTTGATTGGCTGTGGATCAGATGCTTTGGTGTGAAGCAGGTAAGCAGTGGCATGCTGTTATTTTATGTACAGGGATAACTGTAAATGTCCAGACGCACTGAAGCCCATCCTCTTTGTTCAGTATGGAAACTCGTGCATTGATCTCTATCTGTGGATTAAATATTAAAACATATTTGTGTGCCGAAAGCAATCACCTTGAGTGTGTGCTGGGTTTCTTTTTGTTTGCATCAAAGGAGGATGCAACAAGTACAGAGCAAAAAACGTCTCAGAAAGATTCAACTTGTTTTTTGTTTTATTCAAGTTTAATAAATGAACTTGCTCCATTTTTATTGCAGTGTTATGGAGGCTGCAAACTGAGCCTGGTATAAAAATACAAAAGCAGTAACAATAGAGTTCAATGCTGTTCAAAAGCTGGAAACTTTATATTCAAGTACTTCCACATGATCATCTTTACACCCACAGAGAACATGGAAAACTCGATACAACTGAAAAAAAGGCTATTTTTTTATGTTTTAATATCAATTTTCTTTTTTTAAATCGTGTAGTGAGTCAGTTTCAAATCCATTGTCTTCATAATTCCAGTTTCTTATCGCAACAAGTTATTCTTATAGCTTAAAAACTAAAAACATTACTGGCCCTAACTATTTCAATCTATTTAATGCACCTTCGATTTGTTAAAGGGGCAGTGTTATGTATTTTCCAGGCACCTAGTGCTATTTTCTTTTAGCAAATCAAGTAACTATGTTACCTTCAGTTGTAAATTTGACTTTGTAATTTAATGCTTTGAAATTGGGCCTGTGTCTCTTTAAGATACTCCGCATTTCAAGAAGTCACAACCGTGCTCCATGCTTAACGTCTTTACCAGCACTGCACAGAGCAGTAGCTGGTATAATGAGCTCAGCAGATGTGCAGTTCCACCAGGTGTTTGCTAATTGCTGCTGGCTAGTCTGAAGGAGCTAAGCAAGACGCTCTGTAATGTTCTGAAGGTTGGAAACTGCAGCTCCGAGGAAGAGCTTTGTCATCAGCGCTGGCCCATCACAGCGCTGATGCCATGGGAGAGTACAGGATTTCTCAAGCATGTATGAAAGGATCAAAGAAACACTCCAGGTATGTTTTCATAACATCATAACACGATGCAAAGCTCAAAAAAGTCAATTTCACATATTACTGCCCCTTTAAGTTTACCCCATCAAAAATCTAAACCAAGGAAAAGATGCAGGAAAGCAGAGATGACCTTTCTTTGCTACAAACTACCGAAGCTAAAAAGATGAAGTTAACTGAGGTTTGATGTTTTAAAGCTGCAGAAGGTCTGTAAACGTCAGTAGATCCAGTTGTTGGGGCTGCTCTCCCAGCGGTGGAGCTCGCCCTGATGGAACCAGAGACAGATTTCCTTCTGGGCGCTCTCCACCGAGTCGCTACCGTGGATCACATTCCTGAAAACAAAGAGTGAAAGTTGCTCCTCTGATTATCATCCCGACGCAAAACGAACAGGTACTTTCTGAAAACACGACAATGTAAAAAAAGTAATACAATGGCCCATTTTTATTAACCAACAATATATCCTCACAATGACTTCAAAGGATTTCTGAGATTGTTAATTCAAGGCTTACTATCCTGCAGTTTATTCTTATCCAGTATAACTAGAACACTGTTTGCATGTTTCCACACATAAAACACTGAGATCAGACCCGTAACTTGCAGAGTAAGGTGATGAAATGACTTACCTGCCCACTTCCACACAGAAATCTCCCCGAATGGTTCCCGGCAGTGAGTCTGCGGGATTGGTCTCACCCAGCATCTTGCGAGCGGTCTTCACAACATCTAAACCCTGCCACACCTACGCAAAAAATCAGGACGCTTTGAAACACAACACATCAAAACGTTGCTGAGAAACCCGTTGAGGAAACCCACCATTGCAACAACTGGTCCAGAACTCATGTAGCTTATTAGGGTGCTGTAGAAAGGCTTGTTCCTCAGCTCCCAGTAGTGTTCCCTTAGTAGCTCCTCAGACGCCTGGTGTGCAACCAAGATAGACACATTCATTTACCAGATTGCGTCTCTGATCCACTGCGCTAAAACCTCTGCAGCATTTCAACCACAAGTGAATACCTTTATAAGCTTAAGAGCAACAAGTTTGAAGCCTCTCTTCTCAAAACGACGCACTATTTCTCCCACCAGTTTCCGCTGCACACCGTCCGGCTTCACGGCGATGAAGGTGCGTTCGTTCACTCCCGTCCAGCCTGAAACGGCACACAGGGAACTGTTTAACTTGAGCACAGCATGCGCTTGAGGCCAACGACAACTGAGACCAAAGGTATCAAACTCAAACCAGCATTCCAAACTCAATACTGAATTTCCAGCAAGCATATTAAAAGTTTGTCATTAGAATAGAATACTTTATTGTTTCTCAAGTTGGAAATATAGTTGCAGGGTTTCCCCCAGAAAACTTGCTACGCCCGGTGCTCCGGGCTCTAGGACAGTCATCCAATCACCTGCCATGTTTTTAAGTTAAATTTTTTTTTAAATTGACAGAAAATGTGGAAATATCACACTTGATAACTATGCATTATTGGAAGACTGGAAGATAAGTTAATACCTAAACTCCAACTACAAGGTCCCAAAAAAGGCAATCATTAAAAAAAACCTGAAATAAATTAACATTGCAAAGCCTGGTGAGGACACAGGTAAAGTCTGGTGGCCCGCCAGGCTTATAATACACTGTGGGAAATCCTGAATTGGATTATCAAGTAAATCTGTATCATTAAACAGTCATTGTCTGTGTTACTTAATTTTAATTATGTTCTTTGTTTACCAATTTTCTACATAAAAACCCTCTTCGCTGAATATGGTGTTAATGACCTATTATACAAAGGTGAAACTATAAAATATGACAATATAAAGTCATTCTAGAATTTCTGAAGGCATCTGGTTGCATAAATAAACAATGCATCTAACAAAAAAATCCTTCTAAAATAATCAGGTTTGGGGTCGGCACTGACAGATCCAGCCTTGGTGTTCTCATCCATTGATTAGCATCGCCCCCTAGTGGACACCTATAAAAATGCTGACATTCACAATTTGAAATTCAACTTACATCTCAATAAGCTTTATGCAAGCTTTTTGTATTCCAGTATTTTCATGCGCAACAGCAGCTCCGTAGTATATTCTGCACGGCAGCTGGATTTAAAACAAAGTACCTGCAGCAGGTGCTCAAAGATCTGCACATCGACATCATTTCAAGCCACACCCCCGCACTCCCCGCTGTCCAAACCAGAAGTTAGGAACCTCACCGGTTTCATCAATCCGCGCCTGTTTGGGAACCAGGTCTTCCAGTTCCTGCAGATCTCGCTGCGACCTTTTTGTTGGCCTCATTGTGGGGACTCTGTCTGCAGCAGCCTATCAGATCCCACAGTCTGCGCACGAGCACAAATCTTCCCAATAAGCAGCGCGCGAACCCCTGAGCTAATAATAGGATGATGAATCAACTTTTCTGACAATGAGGAGCTGAACGCTGCATGCTGTTAGACCCGCGGCTGAGACAACACGTTAGTTAGTTAGTAATAATTAATTAGTTCGGGTTGTTTTAGTCACATTTAGCAGTCTGAACTAATGCAACGCTCCAGTTAAAGTTAGAGAGCTTCTTAACTCTACTGTACCGGGTATAAGTGCTGCCTTCGGCTAACCGAGGACTTTGACCCACCAGCGACTCTGACCCACCAGCATCTCCTGGAAACTGAAAATATAACTTGGTAAAACTCAAAGCGAGGCTCGGAAAACTACAACCCAGCGACTAAAATACATATAACACCAACCTGACTGGAAGACGTGGGCAAAAATAGATAGAAACAGGCAGATCATTGTCGGTGCAGGACGGAGCACACTGTAGTCTGGGAGAATGAAGGAGGGAGGAGAGCTACGTCACGTTGCTAAGGAATGCTCCAAAGCGCGAGCCTGTATGGCAAACCAATAAATATTTAATAGGTACACTAGGCTCTACAAAGCAAAAATCCGTCATTTTGAGTTTTCTTCTACAAATTATAACCATTTCTAGTTTTTTTTTATTTTATTTTTTTTTAGATCCCTGGCTTGCCAAACTACAATAATAGAGGCTCCTTAATTTTTTTTATTCATGAACTTGCAACAGCATCGCGCCTTTTAATCAAAACATGCAACAGTCGTAATCATTCATAAATATTAAGCATCTTCAATATAAAACTAACTACTTGAACTTTAAAGTTCCCTCTGCTACCTCCACAATTAGCTGAATGTAGAAGCTTCTGAGTTAAAAGCTGTTAAAAGATGTGAAGGTGTTTGTACAGAACATATTTTGCATTAGATTAGAAAAGGTGAAGTGTAACTCCATCATTATAGTTTTTTTTTAAAACAGTGTTTGTGTGTGTTTTTATAGTTCATAGTTTGTACATAAATTCCCATGGAATAGAACTTCAGATTCCACTGCAGTTCTATTTTTTTGCATTTTTACAGAGCCCAGGGTGCATTGGCGCCATCTATCCACAGTACTTAACAGAAAATGTCTTTTGTTGGAATTGTCACTCAAATGTTTCTCAAAACATGAGTCAAAAGGACATGTAAAAAAATATTTTTAATATTTATCAGCACAATTTTGAATTCATCCTGTACATTTTGTCTATTTTTATTAGTCAAGTAAGATGGCTGTAGTTTTCTGTTTATACTTAAGATTTAAAACAAAGGATTTTGTACATTTGCCTTATTAAAAGCAGAAATGAATGGTGTAGTGATTAGGTTTAGATAATGTTCTGGTCTGTACTGTAGAACTGCTTTTATCTGAACTGCACACAGCTGAACATTTTTTTGTAAAAGTCATTTTTGTGCAATGTGTTGCAACTGACAGTGACGGTCTTCATACGGTTTGTCCAGGATTCAAACCTGGAACCTTCTTGCTGCAGGGCAGCAGTACAAAACAACAGCAAATGAATTTAATGAAGAAAACAAACATCACTGAAGGAGCCGGTTTGATCCCGCTTTTAATATTTAGCACACACAAACATACACGGTTCTCTATGAGATTATAAAGAAACCTTATTTGAGTCCAGCACTCGGCAGCGGCTCAGACGAGTCCTTGAAAAGACCGTTCTGGTTCACACCGCTGTCCCCTCTTTCCTCCGATTCTCTTCTTCCTGTTTGCGGAAATATTCTACGTTGAACACCACATTCCTCTGTAAGGGCAAGGCCGGCTCCTCTGTCACCACCCTGCCTCCAGCTCTCCCACGCTGTGCCAGGATCATGGCACGGAGCAGGGGAGGGTAGGGAACGTAGCGCACCGGAGGCTCTGGGAGGGGCTGGAAGTCCTTGAACTGCTGCTCCATGCCTTTGGGAATCAGGCGCCAGTCGTGGTACATCACCTTCTCCACCTCTTTCACCTCTTTTTCCTGTTTGCCTAACAAGTACATTTTATTTACAGAGTAGTTATGATTTTTAATATGTACTCGGTGCATCTTTATCACAACAAAAAGACATTTGAATAATTACTAATAATTTTAATTATTTGGATTAATTTTGTCACTTTACAGCCACAAATTATGTTTTTTTTTTTCCCCTCATGGTGCAACAACACTATATCCTAGGTTTTTAATGTTTTACAAAGACATCTTAACATATATTTTCTAAAAGAAAACATGTGGATCCTATTATGATACTCCTAAATACAATTCGGTGCAATGAATTCTCTGCAAACATCACCTTGTGTCTCACTGGTGTGTGGTTTACTTTTAGTGTAAAGAATGTGAAGGTCTCAGATGTTTGTAAAAGAACAATAGGAAACAAAATCTCAGTACAAAAAAGGAAACAAAATTTTGATACAAAAAGATTTTGCATTAAACGCAGTTTGTGGTTCTAATGTAACAAGAGATATGAAAACCTTTGCAAGACTCAGTAACTGATGCAGTCATTTTTAAAGCCAAATGTAAACGTGATGAATTTTTTTCAGTGTTAGATACTACAAAGCCACCTTTTTATGTGCAACTGTAAATATTCATACAGCATCCAGGATCCTTATAAACAAGAAAAAGATCAACAGGGATTAAGATTACCTTTATATGTGAGGATTCCCCATGCTTTGCCATGATCCATGTTCTATAAAAGTAAAGAAAACACAATGATTTCTAAGTTTGTGTTTTTTCACAAAACAAACATGTTAATGTTTCATTTGTTGACATATTGATCTGCAAACTCAACTAATAAAAAGCATGAGGTTTCTGTTAAATTCCCAAAACAGATTAGAAGACTCAGCATTCACGTTTGTGATGGTAGGAGAGGAAAGGCCTGATCAACCAAAATTAATCATGTATAAACAAATAAAAGCAAGACAGCTTCACTGGGGGAGTGGGTACAGTGCTGTCCTCCACTGCCAGCTCACCTCAGCTGTGTAGTCCACCTTGACCTTGGTAATCTCCCAGTAGCTGGGCTCTGGGTGTTCCTCCAACCAAGACTTACGGGTGAACATGCGGCCGACTCCGAACAGCCTCATCCCCGCCAGCAGGGAGAAGAGGCGGCTCTCCCTGCGGACGTCCTGCCAGGCCAACACGGGCAGCATCTTCCCAGTGAGAGGCCGCCTCATATTCTCGTAGTCCAGGGCGTACTTCTGCGACTCCTTCGGCCGAAACTTCAGCTCCCGGTACGCCCGGATCTTCCGAGCCATTTCTGCGATGAGACGGAGCCGCTTCTTTTTCACCATGATTGCAAGTGGACAAACACCCGGTCACAGTATACCCTGAGGACGAAAATGGTTGTTACATCGACATGGTTGGGGCGGAAATTGTGTAAGCGTAGCAGATATCGGTGCTACAAACACATTAAAATTACTGATAAGAGTCAGTAAACGGTAACCACCTGGTATGAAACCCCAGATTATCTACTAATGATAAAATATATTAGTTTCAATGCCTGAAAATGACCAAAGAAATTAACTCCTAGTTGACCTCAGTGAGCAAAGCACGCATTTTCCGCACACATGGTCCGTTCATAAATAGTCCCTGAAAGAACTGTGATTGCAATTTGGTTCCGCAGCAGAGAAATTCTGGTTCCAGATACTACTAATACCTATACAAATACTAAGTCTTATTTCTTTGAATGTGCAAATTTGATTTCATAGATTATGAAATCATAGATTATGAAATCTATGAAATCAAAGTATTCAAAGTATTCAAAGTACTTTATACTTTGAATAAAGTAGACAACGAATAACATGGGTACTCTAAATTACTCAAAAAGAAAGCTTTTTATTTGAGAAGTATTAATGTCTTACGGATGTATTTCAATGAGTGTTTTTTTATACTCCTTCTTTCAGCCAAAAGATTAACGTTAACTGAACTTTATTGCCTTAAATAATAATTAGAAAAATATATTTAATGCATTTCCAGGACAGATCATGGAAAAAAGAAACAGAACATTTGCTGAATCTCTTCAATCAAAATAACAGTGTTGGCTAAAACCCCTTTCAATTTAAGAAATTTTCTCATTATTAGAACAACCTGGTATAATGTCACACGCCGACATCCATTTCTGCATGAAGGCATCCATTTTCAGTTAATTTGGCAAATTTTAAACGCCACAAATAAAATAGAAAAGGGGTTGATAATTTTTTTACCCTATAAACACTAAAATTTTAGTTTTTCGATGGAACTGCAGGCGAATGACGAAGAGGTGATCTGGTGCCCGTCAGACAAAAGACGAGTCCCTCAGGACTGAAAACATATTTGTTTACTCCTGCTTTTGACCAAACAGTCTGGTCAATAAAAAAGTTTGAAACATGTTTGTCTTTTTTGCCTTTAATAAGTATTTTAGCTTTTTTTTTCTTTTCTTTTCTTTTATGCCATGCTTTTTGCTTAGGCTTGATATTTTATTTCTTCTTTCTTTCGGCGTTTTAAACTTTGGACTGCCTTGTTTATGAATGGTGCTAAATAAGGCCGCCTTGCCTTAAGGTCGGAAACTTTTTTTTTTTTCCTTCGGTTAATTCCTGAAGCAGCCACACACTGCCACATTTGAATGCTGATATTTTTACAATTTATTTGAAACTCTCAGATTATGGCATTAGATGTTGCTTTGTGACCGCCTAGATGAGTCAGTATTTCAAAATGTTGACAGCCTGACCACTCCGATAAGGTTTGGTTTGCTATTCTACACATTTAGAAAATGGATTTTAATTTGTTCATTCGAGGCTAAAAGCCTAAAAACTATTTTTGCAAACAATTTCAGACTGAGGTCAATTTTTTTCCTAGTGTTTTTTGAATTCATTTTCTTTTTTTGATCTTTATGTTGCCTTCTTGTTGTCAGACAGATTATGTTTAATTAATATGTTACCAAGCAGCCAAATTAGTCAGCAAATATTTTTTTAGCAGTACTTATGCTCCATAAAATGCAAAAATGGGAACAATTTAATTAATAAGCAGTGCCTCTTTGTTTGACTTTTGCTATTAATTACATTTATTTTGAATTCAGATGTTCTATCAGACAAAGCTACAAGTGACTACACATGTCGTTAGCTGGTATGCAGGTTCAAACCTCCCTGTGAATTAGCTCCTCCTGTATTTTGTTTACACGGTCACACTGGCAGAAAGTAGGTCATGGAAAAACGAAACGAAGCAAGTCACCTCTTCGCTTCTTGTGTGTTAACTGTCTAGTAATACCCGGAATCAAAGGAACACCACCCCCGTGGATTAGTCGGGTTTATGTGTCACTAGAGGGCAATTTAACAGGTAACGACTCTACTTTTTAATCCATCCTGGGTGGATGTGTGCTAACAGCAGCTTGCCGCGCAATGCTAGCTCTTTTTATGCATCAGTAGCAAGGTTCTTCGTTCTGGTTGTGCAATAAGTCGCGACAAACAACAATTTGGTGATTTATTCACACATAAATGGTAGCGAACAAGTAATTTGAAGTCACGACTTTATTTTTTTTTATTATACTTTTAAGACGAAGCTCAATCCGAGCAGTTGGCTTGCATTAGCTGCTCTGTTAGCTCGAGGCTAAGAAGCTGATGAATCTGGCAAAGAAAACAGTAAATGTTATAGTGGGTGTTCTTTTTTTTATTTGTGTTAAATGATATATATGGTTTTGCTGTGTGAATGCGATGAGGCTTATTTCTGTTGCTTTACACAGATTCGATATTTTGGTAATATCCAGGCTATTTTGTATGCCAAAACACCCGATTTTAATGTAAGAATGAGAAACAATAAATAAATAAATGTGATATTTGGCTGTAAGTGCAACGAATAAAGGAAAATGTCTTCACATAAACAAAACGAAATAAATTTAATTGAGAAAAAGAATAAAAACATAAACATTTCTCTTTAATTACTCTGGGTTTGTCGTTTTGTGGCCGCATTGTCTAAGAATATGATGTGTGTTTATATTAGTTTTATTGTGAAGAAGTTTAATAAAATGGAAATTTTATGTTTCTAGAAATTAGTTGTGTTTTTTTTAATTAAGTGCGTTTTTTTGATCTCGGGTCCTTTTATTTACATCTTATAGTTGCCTGCTTGATTGTCAAGGTCCAAAAGTATTTCTAAAAAAATCTTAGAATAAATAAACTATTACCTTAATTAGTTTAAATACATATATTATTTAATTAATATACAAAATGTAAAGTTAGTTAGTAAAAACAAACAATGTAATTAGTATGAAACTGACCCACTTTGCAGATTAACCGAACAAATATTAGGACCTACTTGACAAGTAGTAGCAGGAACTAAATCATATCCCACTGCACTACAACACAGGAACATACTAATTAAACTCTAAAATAATTATATATTGCTCTCAAATATAATAGCTGCACATTTTCACTGTAAGAATTTTCATTTAAATAGTAGTTAATGTATAATTATCACATTTAAAGGCTTTTGATTTTTATTCCCATTAAATCCATTTATTTAAAATTTTGTGTTCATTATCATGTTTGTAAACATATTTTATTACATGCTTATTTATTACAGTGTTGCAAGTTTGACACTTAACTGTGGAAGATGCTTTAAAATAAGGTTATGTAGTTAGAAAAAAATAGGATAGTAAAGGGTTTGCTGCAAGGATGTGCAACTTATCAACTTTGTGTTTCAGTTTCTATTTCTGAAATGTAAGCTATTGCTTGATTAGTAGTAATTTCAAAAAATAAATATTATTTTGTCACATTCTGCACCTTCTGTGCCAAAATATAGAAACCCAGGCAGAGGAAAATACTGTGAAATCAATAATTTTATGGAATTTGCTTAGATGTTAATCTAAGAAATCTGGGTTTGTGATCCAAGGAATCTTGTTGTTCCCTCAGAGATTTTTTTTTCACCCTCTACCTTTACATGTACAGTGAATGAAAAGCAAGGACGGAGACTGTACTGGTCACTGGTCACTGACTGTGACCCTCTGAGCCTAGGCTAGTCCTTAAAAACTATGCCGTAAAATAATCAGTTAATATGTGTCTTTAGTTTAAGCTGCACTCAATGCCGATACAGCCCTCAAATAGAGTCGGACATGTTGGTGTAAAAACTTGGAGGAAGAAGTTATGACGCATGTTGGTTTGTTTTCCTTCAGCCGTTGGACTAATGCTGCTCCTTAAACATCTGGAGTAAACCCGGATCGAGCGGCGAAGCTCTTCTACTTGTTCGACTCTGCTACCATGTCAAGACGTAGCAGGAACAGCCGGGCTTGGCGTTACGTTTGGGGTGGGATACGAAGGGACGCCGACGCCCGGGCCCTCGTGTTGGCCTCTGAAGCTGAACAGTGGCGCTACGACCGGCTGGAGGTAAACCATTCAAAACCGGAAATCGTTTTGGTTCATGTGATGCAGAAAAGGGAAATGTCTGGTCTTTAAAAACTGCAGATTTGTGTTTTGATTCCCCTGATGTGTTGAACACTAAGGGTTGTTCTTTAAAATCTCTCTGTAAAGTACAGTGATTCTGACTCGGAGGCGGACTACTCAGCCGTGATGGTTCCTCCGGTCCCCAGTGCTGTCCCTGTTACAGGAGAGTCTTACTGTGCCTGCGACTCCCAGGCAGAAACCAGTTACAACCCTCGCCTACGAGGATTTCACCAAGTCAAAGACTGCCACTGTGGAGAGGATGACCAAGGTACCAAAGCAGCTGCACAGTTTTAACAACAACCTCTAACGCAGGGGTCCCCAAACTTTTTCCTGCAAGGGCCACATGACTGTTCCCTTTTCTGGTCGGGGGCCGGTCTTAGTTTTTCGAGTAAGAAACCTTAGAAAAGTTTTTTTTTTTACGGGGGGGGGGGGGGGGGGGGGGATTACTGCCGACGACATATTCCC